CCGGGCCCGGCCTGAGCCGTCGCCATCTGCGTTTGCAACATGCCGAAGTTCCTCCGAGCAGGGACCGCGATAACGGCGGTATTTGGGGTACCGGTGGCGACGCTGGCGCTTAACTGAAAATAAGTTATTTACACGGAATCGTTTAGGTTGGAAGGGACCTCTGGAGATCATCTAGTCCAACCTGCCTGCTCAAGCAGGGTCCCCTAGAGCATATTGCCCAGGATCGCATCCAGACGGGCCGATAAAGTGAAGAGGAGGGATGAACGGCACTCCGGATTCGGGAGAGTTGAGCGAGTTTTATCCCGCTCCGGCTGGTTGGGCAGCTTTGGGGGCCTCTGCGAGCGCCGCGGTTCCTGCAGTCTCCGCCTGCTCCCCGCTGGACGTCGCCCCGAGTCCTCTCCTCCGTGCGCGTGTCCCAGGCGAGGAGGAGGAGGAGGAGGACTTCCGCCGCCTGTAGCGCCTTGGTTAAAGCGGTTGGGGACTGACTTTCCCCGGGGTGATGGTATTGGGCGCACGCTTGTAAAATGAACAAGGGAGGAAGCCGTAAGCGCTTCTGTTGGTGGAAGAAAGGGAGGAGCGACCCGTCGGGCTTCTTCAAGGACTTGCAAAAGTCTTAATTTTTTGCAAAACTACAACTCTGCAGGGGGGGCGAGGGGGGAACGTGCCTTTCCCTAGTGCATTTGCTTAGAGTAGACCTTTAAGGCAGACAGACCGCGTCCTCGTTAAACAGGACTTGTGTAAATTGGCCCAGCAAAGCGTGTCTGAACGGTGCGGGTTCTGCCGTCTTCCGACCTGGTGTGAATTTCCCTGGTTTGGTTGCCCTAGTACAAACTTCCCTCCTTGGGTAAGTCCGCAGGTATACAAAGCGATCTCCAGGCGCCGTCGCAACTGAGATGTGTTTCGGTTGCTGCATCAGTGAGCGAAATTGGATCGTTTTAGGGGCACGCGTAGTGGCTGTTTTATTTCAAGGAAAAAAAAAAGTCCCTGCTCTTTCTTTCCGTGGCTCTTTGGCGCATGAGGCCTCTTTTACACTTGCCTGTCGCTGTGCTGCTGCCTGCAGAGGAGTTTGGACTGAAGGATGGCAAAGGAGCAAGCGCGTTCAG